ATTTAATTATTATAAATAATTAACATAATTATAAATATTAATAAAATTGAAATTTTATAACAGAAACATTAAAACTTAAGAAAAATAAGAATAGGAAATCAAAATTATAATTAAACTAAAAAGTAAACATAAAAAATTCAATCTGTCAGATAAAAAAATTCATTAATCTAACGACTGAATTGATCGAGTCACATCAATTTTTATCGAATCAATTACAACTATGATCCGATAATTTTATCAGACTATTGTACCTTTCAGTTCATAGTTTAATCAATTTGACTGATAGAAGCAGTCTGAATTCTTATCTTTCTATCCCTGCCTGTATCTTATCCTTAGAGCTCCCCTTTGCGTTGATTATAGGCCTTTTCTTTGCCCTTTGGGAGAGGTAAGGTATAGAGCTTGAATCCCTCAGCTGACATCTTATTCTCCATTGGGCACCCATCCTCATGGCATCTACTTCTTTAGATAAAAGAGAAAAAGCTTTTGCCGCTCTTTCCTTGGCTTTCTTTCGCGTACGTGTGCTCGTCTATCCTTTAATAGAAAGAAGCAATTTCTCTATTCGAAATCAAGCTACAGGCCATCAAATATGGCGGTAGAACAACTAGCAAGAGGTGCCCAGGTACCGTTAACAAGCTCATGAATTTAACATTCAAGCGAACCCCATGCCTTATGGTTTGAGATTCTGTTTGATTATAAGCCTTTAGAATGGTTATATATACTTTAGAAAAGGGCTATCTCTGTCTAGCTTTCCTTTCTTGCTTGCTTGCTTTCTATCCCCGATGCCAATGCCCTTTCTGTTCTCGAGTCTTTGCAATCTTCTGCCATTCCTAGACTTTGAAATGGTTAGACCACTATCTTCGAGTCCGGTTGAGAAATGGCGGATTTGAGTACCGGGAAGTAAGTATGAGTAAGGTCCGGGTCTGGTTGAGTAACTCATGATAGAGAGAGTTCTTAATTTCTAAAGTATGAATAAATAGTAGACATGTAGCTGCCTTTTAGGTATTGAATCCCTGGCCGGGAAGCATGAAGGATAACATGAGTCTTTAAGGACAGAGTGACCCCATGGGTTGTCCACTCTTTCGGGTATTCACTAAAAAATCATTGAATTGAATAAGGCTATTCTACTTAGGACTCCCTTACTAAGCTTTCAGGAAAGTCTGAGATCTCATTGTCTTCCTAAAGCCTTTTTAATCCTAATTGAACAGATATAAGATAGATGTAGAGACTCATCCTTGATTCCTATCGGTCAGGGCCCTTGAAGAACCCTCCACGGATTATCGATAGTAGCTTACTAATCCAAGGAAGGAGTGATGCGAAGAGTTTCTTTCTTTCGTACCCATTCACAAGAAAGAAGGGTCTCAAGAAGTGTGATCATGGTCACTCAGAACATAGGATTTTCGGCATCAAAGAGCGTGTGGGACAGGTGAGGGAAGGAAGGGCGGGATGAAGCAAGCAGCCAATCCCTTGCTGGTTAAAAATAGCAACATCAATATTAAAATTATAAACACCATGGGGTGGGGCCTACCAATAGGTGTTTGCACAATTTGTAGCTTCTCCTTCTTATACTATTAGAAGAAGCTGATTTCTTTGTTCACCATATCCACAGGATAGTTCTGTATGTCCTGGAACAACAGCAAATTTCTATCACTCCATAAAGCCCATGCAACTACTAGCATCAGTTCCAGATGCTCTTCATCAAGACACTTCCCCATCTCCTTCACCCAATATGAGAGAGAGCCTGCATCTATTGAGTATGAAGGGCTAATGGGCAGAGTAGCCAAATGCCAGATGCCCAAGGGCAGTCCTTTAAAACATGAATGGTAGATTCAGGCTCCATTCCACATCTGTCACAAAGCAGGTCAACCTCCACCTTTCTTTTCCCATTTTACTCGTCTTGCATAAAAAACCCACCTAAATCCACATCTAAAAGGGAGCCCGCGATCAAAATACCTCCTCTATGAGATCTCGGTGCTACTGCCCAGCCCCACCTTCATTTTTTTCGAATTACGACTACTCGACTTTTTTTTCCTAAGCAAAGATCTAGGGGGAGGAGCTCTTCTTGCGTAGTAGACCTTTTCCCATAAATTCCAGGCTCGTCTTAATAACCAGTATAACCCCGGACCTTTTGAGCAAGCTCTATGGAGATAGCGAATGCTAGCGTTAGCCCAGCCATCCATATTGCAAGATCTCTGGGTGTTCTTTCCATTGAAGCTTCACTAGCCACCTCCCTGGCTTGCTCACTGAGGTGTCTACTAGCTGCCTGACTTCTGCGGAAGAACTTGCCGATTCCCCGATTTGCGTTGCCTCTGCCAGCTACTGTAACTCAGGGATGCTTGGGGGTCTCTGTGCTAGACAGTCCCACCATATCGTGCACCCAAGATATAGCGCCGGTAAGATTAAGCTGAGAACTTTTGTGACGTGCTGCCTTTGCCCCAACCCCGCCTGTGAGTGCTCTATTTCCCCAGGTGTACCTGTAGCTCTCTGGTCTTGACCCACGGCC